TGCTGTATAAGCATGCCCAACCTATCTACAGAAACTATTCAAATGGCTTTCAGTAAGATGTGCTTTCACTAGGTAGAACAGATTTGCCCCCTGCAGTCACAAATGAAAGTAAAATGCTTTTTCTTTTCTTCTTCTTCTTTTTTTTTTTTTTAACTCTAGTGCATACTGATTTCGTTAGCATTTATGGACTGCTAGCTGTGCAGGAAAACCTATTTGTGCTCCATTTTCCTTATCGATGAAATGGGTGTAATCATGTTACTGTTAACTGCCTTCATATGGTTCCTAAAGCCTCAAATGAGCTCATATGTAGAAACATTTAGAATAAGGCCTAGTACAAGATAATCATCAAACAAAATCCGTGGGTGGGAGGGGTGGGGGGTTGGAGAGGAGCTGATACCAAGGGCTCAAGTAGAAAGAATTTGTTTTGGAAATGTTGATGGCAAATATCATATGTACAACTGTGCTTAATACTGTTCAATGATGGATTGTTATAAAATTTGTAAGACTCCCCCCCCCAATAAAATGATTTAAAAAAAATTTTTTTAAACAGAAGCCATAATATAACATATCAGGCTTTTGTGGTTTCTGTTTCCAAGGGGCCCTTCTTTTCACCTTTGATTGAATTTAGGCCCTTAGTTTTCTAAAGTGAATCTTAGTTTCCTAAAATAAATCATTTGCTTTACCTACACTGCCTTATGTGCCCAGAAAAACTGGAGTTCATCCAGGCCAATTCTACCACCAAGTCCAAATAATGGGGTTAAAAAAAAGTTGTGATTTAAAAAAAATTTTTACATTTAATAGAAATTCACATATCCTGTAACATAATGTTGACATCTTTTTCTGAGTTTACCAGACATACGGAGTTTTATGTATTTTCATTGTTACAAATTGAACGTAATTAAAGCATAGTGATGAATCACAAAAACAATATGTATATAATTATATATTGTGAAATATTTATTTCTAATGACAAAGAAATGAAATTTTGTCTTGAAGCATGGTATAGCATGAGTAACAGTCTTCACACCCGGTACTCACTGGTATGTGGGTGTATCTGCATGTGGGTGGGCTTGGAGACAGAGGAGCCGGTGTCTCGGTTCCTACGACCATCGGAAATAAGTGTTTTTACGATGGTCTTAGGCGACCCCTGTGAAAGGGTCACTCGACTCTCCAAAAGGGTGGCGACCCACAAGTTGAGAACCTCTGCTGTATAGGGTTGATGTGAATCAGAATCAACTTGATGGCAGCAGGTTCGGGGGTTTTTTTAGTTGTTGGTAATCAGGGGACTTCAGAAGTTTCATGGAAAAAGGAATTAAAAGATAATGGCATTTTTACACAAACCCTTTGAAGTCTTGTATTAAAAAAATGTTTCTTTTTACCCATCCACTGCATGTTGTCTTACTAACTTTGTAGTTGTAATATTGATTATTTAACCCAACCAAAACTCACTGCCATCAAGTTGATTCCAGGTCATGGTGACCTTAATAGGACAGGATAGAACTTTTTCATAGAGTATCCAAGGCTTGTGAATCTTTATGGGAAGAGGCTGCCACATCTTTCTCCCAAGGAGCGGCCGTTGGGTTCCAGCCATCAACCTTTCTGTAGCATCCCACGCTCAACCCACTGTGACACAAGGGCTCCTGAACTCTCTGAGGACTGTGGTTTAACCTCATTTAATTTCCTAATGCAATCAAGATTTAAATCTTCCAAATACCAAGTTGATCAAAATGTTCACCAATTTCTAACATTTAAAAACCTCGAGTAGCAGTAAGAGGTTTTCTTATATAAAGGGCTCTTAAAATAGATATTTAAAAATTACCACCCCCTCACCCCAATTCAATAGGAATATCTCTAGGAGAATAAAAAATATTTGGGTGATTTAATTGCTTGTTCTGGTAGAAATTGATAGATTGAAACATGTGCTTTCATCATTATTTAAGACGCTAAACAGCAATAGAGAAACATCTTGAGTAGGCTGAGAGCCTAGTTTTGACAGTCTTTTATTTTATTCCCTGGCGAACTTTTTGTATCATTTGTTTATAACAGCAAAAACCAAACCAAACCCACTGCCATTGAGTTGATTCCAATCCTGCTATGTAGGCAGAGTAGGACTGCTCCTTCGGGTTTTAGAGGCTGTAAGTCTGTATAGGAGCAGTCTGGTTCTCGAGGTGGATTTGAACCACGACCTTTTAGTTAACAGCCATTTCCCCACCAGGGTTCCTTTTAATAGCAATAGTAGCAGCAAACGCTACCGCCTGTTGAATGGCACATTAGGTGCCAGTATTTGATCCTCTAATTCTACATCCACTGTGAGATCGGCCCCAGTATTTATAAATGCAGAAATCTAGTCTCAGCCCCATAGGTCCCAGTCTTCTATCAACATGACTTACTGGAATGCACAGTAGGAAATGAGCTGTGGCTCTTTGTAGTATGGTGAGCAAGATGGTAGTGATGGTTATACCATCAAACTGCTGTTGGGGTGGTTGAAATTGATTTTCTTTTAAAAGTAACATGTCAGAGCAGATTTCACTATAGTCATTGTCTTTGCTAACTACCCTAGCCACTTGCTCGCTGCGTTCTTAAACTGCTCGCCCTTTGTGGTGGTCAGTCTCGGGCTCGGTTATCTGCCTCTAGTTTGTTTATTGCTCTACCTCAGGAACTAGCAAACTGTGACCTATGGGTCAAATCTGCTGTGGCACTGGTTGTTGTAAATAAAGTCTTCCTGGAACACAGTTGCATTTATTTGTTTGTGGGTCACCTGCAAAACCTAAAATGTTTACTGTCCGGCCCTATGCAGGAAAGATCCCTTACAACTCTGCTCTCTTCTTACCTCACTCATCAAAACAGTTGAAGTATCCAATATTTAAATATCTGGTCCTAAAGATATGTACAACTTTCTTTTTAAATTTTCATATAACATGCAGTAAAACCTGCATGAGCCGCAACTCCACAAACTGCCTTGTTATCCGGGTCTCGCAAGTTTTCAACCTTTGTCAGGGTGCAGTCGGAGCACGTTTCTGTTGTTCATTTCAGTGGAAAATATTTTCGCTTTCCTTCTCTGACAGGTTGTGACACTGAGAAGATGAGGGCAAGATTAGTTTCTTGTAAGACATTCCCTCATTTGAGAATTAGCTCACTGGTGTACCTACAACCTGGTATTGCCCAAATAAGCAAATGTATACTGAGGTCTGTTTTTCTTTCTTTCTTGGATAAACTGTGCCCCCCCCCCCCCAAATCTCATTAAAGGAGTAACAAAAAAGATACAAGAATTCTGTTTTAATTTGCAGGGAGATAAAAATTGGTCATATGTGAGTCTTTGTTTACCTCCCACCCAGGAGGAGCCAGTGCCGCATCATGTTTCCAATTAGATGGTTATCTGATCCCTTCCAAGGCAGCTCTGACCCCCCCTCTCATCCCCCTGATACACTCAGGTTTCACAAGCCTGGGGATCTGGAGTCTCCCCTTTACTTCAGGTTTCTTAATTGCTGGTGAGAACCTTTTCCCACATCGCACACAGGAAAGTAATGAAGGTGTTCAAGGAACTTAAGAAAGGAGGGTCAAGGGAGAGTACCCTGAGACTAATTAGGTGGCATGAAGCTTTTTGCCTGTTGCTGCATCCAAAAGAGATTTTGGTTTGGAAATTATATTTGTGAAAATGTTTCCCTCTTGCTTTTCATTCCCCTGCTTGCTGACTACAGCACACAACAGAAACCTGCCGGTAACGTGTGTCTGTTACTTGGCAGGAAGTACAGCCATGATGTGGCATTTTCCTGTCCGTTGAGTATCATTTAGACTGTGCACTTCAACTTCCAGAGGCTTGAACTGTCATGGAGAGTTGATATTCCTGTTTGAGGTTTAAGTGGTAAATTATGCTTAAGTTGAAAAATGTCTGATATGCATCTGAGACATAATAGGGCAAGTAGGAATAAATACTATTATAGGTCGTGCATGTAGACTAACTATTGACACCCAGAAAATTTAAATTGATTTAAATCCAGCAAGTTTTAATTAATAAAAATACTCCAAAATTCCATGCAGTTTATCTGTCTGGCCTTGGTGAATATACGCTAGGAAACATACAGGCTTTGTTTAAAGGAAAGGCCATTTTCTTTTTTTTTAAAGTGCACACACGCACACACCATAGACAGGAGAGATGGAATTTCTAAAATATTGTTAAATCACCAAAATTATGAAACTGTTGAATTTCGTATGTAAAAATTGAGACATTATTTCCTGCTTTGTTTTGTACTTTTGGCAGTAGAGGTAGTTTTTTAAAAAGTAGTTTTTAAAAAGACTACTAAAATTCAGGTGCCTCATGTCCAAGAAAAGGGTTCCTGATCAGCTACAGGGGAATAATACTTTTCCGAAGCCGCCACTGTTGATATCCTTGAATCCAGAGGACCTAAACGGAGGTCAGTGAGAGAGCCCAGTGTGATGGGAAATAATGGGACTGTTGGCTGTTGAGTGGAGTTGTTTAGTTTTGGGAAAATTATTCAGACTTTGCGATTGCTTTTCACTGTTTTCAAAGGCTTAAAATAATTCATGATAAAATGCAATAAAAAGATAATGGAAAATTGCCATGCACTTTTGGAAGCCCGCTCATACAGCTAGCTAGGTAATCTTTGTTACAGAATCTTGAGGTAGGTTAGCTAAGGTACTGTATCTGTAGTACCGGGAGTGGTACTTGGTATGGAGCATTCATGCACTTGGCACCTACTGTATCACCACCATGATGATTTAGAGTAATCTAACATTTAGAGCCAGAGTTCTGTACGTAGTTAGAGAACATTCCCTCAATGTTTCTTATACCTGAGTGGTAATTTCCTTCTCTCTGTTAGAGTAGTGGGGAAGATTTTGTGTGTGTGTGTATGTGTGTGTGTGTGTGTGTGTGTATGTGTGTGTGTGTGTGTGTGTGTGTGTGTGTTATAGATAAATCTATGACATTACTAAAACAAGAGAAATGAAAACCGTAAACCTTTTGGGGGGGTGTCTTAATGCAGACAGCTTTACTAAACCGTCTGGAGCGAATTTTCGAAGCATGTTTTCCTTCTGTACTTGTCCCTGCTGCTGAAGAGGAAGTTACCTCTCTGAAGCACTTGCTGGAAACAAGCACCTTGCCGGTCAAAGCAGCGAGAGAGGCCTTAGCTGACAGTGGGTAAGTAAGTAGTAGACAGTTTTTAGATAGCATGTATTTCTGTTAGTTTCGTTTTATACGTCTATCTTAAAACCTTAAGAATTTTTAAAATGGTAATTATCTGAAAGCATTAAACTTGTTAATACCTTGCCTCTTTACTTCTGAGCTGTTTCTTTTGATATTTCTAGATCAGTATTCTACTCAGCCTATTATCTTACGTATTATGTATTCACTCTTCCTGATAAGATGTGTGACTTGAGCTCACACTTATTCTTCTCTTCATCCAATATGCTTATATCATCACAAATTTTGACTAAATTGTTATTTGATGTTTTCACTATCATGTAAATATTATTTATAGCCACTATTTCCTTCATAGCATAACTTTTTTTAAAATCATTATATTAGGGGCTCATACAACTCTTATCACAATCCATACACACATCAATTGTGTAAAGCGCATTTGTACATTCATTGCCCTCATCATTCTC